GAGATGTAATATACTGTCAACAATCCCACTGTGGGTGCTACAATTAGGTTTATATAGGTATATTTTTGAGCATTTGATCTTCAAGGCAAATAATTGATATTTGAGGACAAGACTATATGTGATATCATGCTCACTGGGTTCCAATAGTTGTGTTTTTCTTTTTAGACAATAGATAATTGCTTAACTAAAGTCAGAAGAAATAATATAGCACTCTCTAAACTCCAATACTAAGGATTAGCCTAGAAGTTCTTGACCCAGACAGGGGAATATAAAATACCATCTTCCCAGTCCACCAGTGCTGTGTCTCAGGTTGTGTGATGCTCAACTTCTTTTATCTCCCTTCTCCTTGAAGTCCTCAATCCTTCTGCTTCTGAGACATGCTTTCAGTTGAGCTTGAGCAGCTCAGACTCTAGGGAGAGATCTACTGGTGTGTTGTCAAACTGGGGAAATGCTCAGGATACCCCATGATGAGCCATCATATTCGTTGCAGTATTTTTAGGAACTATCTGTGTCATTTTGTTCAAAGTCCCTGTGGAATCTTTCTGAAAAAAAAAAAGTTATCAGCTCCTGAATAGTGAATGAAAACAACTTTTTATCCTTTATCTTAAACATACTGACCTTGGTGGTTGTTTGATGGTTGGGTTTGTGTTTTATATAAGTCTTCCAGAGTTGCAGAACTGCAAAATCTGAAATATCTTCCACAATTTTTGGCTGGCTATTGCAGACAGCAGAAAAAAAAACCCACAGGTTCTTGCATCTGAGATCAGTCCCAGTGACTTCTGCACAGTTCATGAAATAGTAATAACATTTTTCTTTTTTTACTACCATTAACTGTTGCTTCAAGCAGACTTTATGCCCGTGTTGTACAGTGAAATAACTGATTACAAAAGATGTCCTAGTTCTAGATTAAAGTGTATTATAATATACATAAAGCTTTTATTGTTCCTTTAGGTTGTTGTTTTAAGCTGCAGTGGAATATTTTCTAAAGTCCTCAGCAATTGTTTACAATTTAGAATTAAATGTGCTTTCTGCTGAAGAAATGTACCTAGCAGACCTGTCACCTTTATGTGCAATTGTTTCTGTGTCATTATTTTCATTGGTGAATGCAAGAGCTGATAGAAAAAGAAATCATTAGGTCTCCTCAGTATTGCTGAGGCATGGAGCTAGAACAGGTCACTCACTGCATTTTGCAGATTGTGACATTTTAAATTACCTCTCCGCTACTGGCAGCAATCTGTGGACCTAATTAACATCTCACTTAATTAATGTCAGGACTGCAGGTCGAGAATTGGAGCTAGTTTTGCTCTGCCTTTATTAAATATCACGCTATTCTGATTTGCCATCTTTAATTTCAGTATTGAAAACTTCAGATTTGTGTGCTGTTTTCTTAAGTGGGAGTAACTTTTTTTTTCCTCCCCTCTCCTTTGAGTAATCAATGCACTGCTGAATGAGTTCATTTTAATGCACTCAATCATGCCTCTAATGTTTGTAGCTTACGGGCGCAAGCATCAGTAATGCAGGAATGTTATATGGCTTTAGTTTGGGCCATTTCATAAAATATTCATGGAATCAAAAATGTGCATCAAAATAGCAGCTGGGAGAATTACATTTATGTGCCTGCTTTTATGGCAGCTTCACATTTAAACCCATTTGTGTTAATATCTAGTCAATCTTTCTACTTAAAAAAAAAAAAGAAATAGTAGTCTCCATATATACCACTTTTAGTTTGATATCTATTTTGATATAACAAATGTGTATTTTTTGGAGTGGGTTTTAGGAAGGGGAATTATAAAGGAAGTTTTAGGTAATGTAAAACCGTTTCTACTCAGTATTTACAAAATTACACTGAGTCCTTTTGCTTGAATGACTAGATTTATTTTTTAGACTTCTAAGCAACTCAGTGGAAACTGCAGCACAAATCTTTGCACACACATGTAGTTGCCATGAAAATAGAAGTAATATCTAAAATTTGATACTGTTGCACAGTTATGTTTTACATTCATATAATTGTTCAAAACTGATTCTTTACTCCCCAAATTATATTGTGACTTTCCCTCCCATATTTAAGATTAAACTCCTGCTGATAGGATTTTCTTTGTTATGCCCTGAGCTCCATTGAACTGCAACCTTTTAGTAGTGGTAGTATATCTGTTGTAAGAGTTAAGTTTGTGGGGTTTTATGTCTTTTATAAATGGAGAGGAGATAACAGACTCTCAAACTACCATTAGTATACACTGAGCTAATTTCTGCATGGCAGTGGGGAAAAAAAATACTCAACTGCTGTCAGTGTTGTCAACTGAAAATAACTATACTGCATTGTGTAACATTTTTCAACATTTTTTTCCACTATAGATTTCCTAGAAACACTTCCTGGATTTTTTCTTTGAATTCCTAGGAATATAAAAGATACTTTGCTACAAACTGTTCCAAGTTATTTTCCTACTCTTTGTTATTCATCTCATTTTGCCTTTTTTCTTTTATTTTTGGGGATGTTAGTGGGTTTTTTCCTCATCTTTCAGCCTGATAGTTAAGTCATTTAAAACTCTGCCTTGTCACTGTTCAGGTGAGGCAGAAATACTCCTACTCTCAGAAATGTTCTTTAATTGGCTTATTACATTATTTTAATGTTATTTCAAGACATTTTCAGACAGCATCTACCTATTTCTACACCTCATAGTTGCAGACAGGTCAACTCCAGCTGAGCTGACTCATGACAGTGAATGAACTTGCCAGCACCATGAAAACATTCTTCCACATTGGAGCTGAATTAATTTTTACTTGATAATCTTTCTTGATAGTTCAGTGAAGCCAAATGGAAATGAGTTCCATTTGAATGCTACCCAAAAGTTTACATTGCTTTTATATCCTGATGTTTGATGTAGATGGATTGTTTCTAAAGAGGTTTCACTGAGATCTGGCAAAAAGGTCACAGCTCTTAGGGTTAGGTCAACTCTTAAGAACTAGGAGGTACACAGAATATAAGAGTTCAGTTTCTAGTCTGGTAGTAACCTTCTCAAGGGAATAGTGCAAGTGAGGAAGCAAGAGTAAGAATTACATTACCTGATAGTTGTAACAATCTAAACAAAAGTTCTGAAGGTTGCATGTATTATTTACCTACATGATGTGTCCTGTTAGGAGATAATATTACAGAGTCTTAGGAGAAACTCAGATACTGTGCTTAGCATTAAATTACATATCCAGGTAATACTATTAATTTGTTTGCTGTTTCCTGTTGTTTTTGAGTTACACATAAATCAAACTACATTATTCTAGCAAATTCATTACACATGTAATGAAACTAGATCACTTAATTGTATGGCAATATCCCTTTAAAAATGCAAACAGTTTATTAATCAGCTTTGGAGAGGATTCCAAGGAGTAGTCTTTACTTGTCCAAGTGGATAAGAATGCTAGATCTAGTTATTAACATGATATTTCAATTAAACCTTCCATCATTTGTCACAAAGCCAGCACCAGCTTCTTCAATTTGTATCTTAAATCTGCAGTTAGTAATTTGAATAACAGGAATTCTGTTGACTTCTGAGTTGGACTTGCTCTAAGAAGTTAGCAGGACTGGATAGATAGAAACCCAAAGTCAAATTGGAAATCTTTTTGGGAGGGACAAGAGTGTTCATCTGGGGTTAGCAAGTCTTCATCTCTGTTTTCTGTTACATGTACTGTCAATGAATCCTTAAACAGCTTGTACTGGTCATGATAATTTCACTTTGCATTTCCATTTGTTCAGTCTGATTGCTAAGTGGTAATTTGGAAATAGATATTTTCCTGGCTGATTACAGGGTCTGATAGTTATTCTGGCAATAAGATTTTCTGGCCACCCCCCAGTGTTTTGGGCCATCTCTTTGCTACCTGTGTAACTAGACTGGAACTGAACAAAGCCTGCTGCCTCCCCTTTCACCTGGCACTTCACTCTGCAGCACTTTTTATTGTCTCCTTTGGGGCTCTTACATGAGTCACAGGTTGTAGAGCCTTAAATGATTTGTGTATGAAGCTCGTTTAATTAGTTGCTTCTTTGAAAGAGAAGTTTCTTGTGCTTGTTAATTTTAGTTGAACTCATTTTCATCATGACAGAAACGTAATATGAAAATAAATTTAATTCTAGTAAAGATAAGAGCTATGTTTTATATTGCAGAGTTGAAAGTATGGTGATAAAAGGGTAACATATGCAAAAGACAAATTTAAATGAAGTTAATAAGAGGAATCTGTCATAGCTGTTCTTCTGCCTCTGGGTTGGCTGGAGGCCTGGGGAACTAGCCTCACTTTCTCTCAGAATACCTAATGCAAGTCCTTCTCCAAAGCTGGGAAACTTTTCTCCTTCCTGGTTCTTTTTTTTTGGAATTTGAATGCAGCACTGTAAAAACAGCCTGCAAAATAATAGTTATAAATCATTTGTAAACTGCAAACACATAGCAGGCTTAGCTTATGGCTTGTTTCAGCTTTTAATAGAAATAGTCATTGATATGTTGATGATATAAGGGATGAGATTCCTTTATTAGTCACACCCAAGCTTGTCAATGTGGCTCTTCCTTCATAATTCTCCCTGCTACAGAACATTCTTTGTAAAACAAGTTGTGACCAGAATGGATTATTTGTTTGTTTTAATGTCTGTGGTCTCATCTTACCTGTTTTCCAGCAGTTTTTTCTGTACCCATATTGTATAAGGAAAGCTTTTGTGTTCTTTCAAGAGGCTTTGAATTTCCATTGTCCAGAACACATGGAAATCTCCTAGATTGCATGTGTAAATGAAGATAAATCTGACTAAATCTAGAGGGGAGGAAGGGAGGGACTACTTGCCTGTTAAAATGAACTGAGCTTTATCCTCAGACTTCCCTTTGTCTTAAAGATGTTGGGGTACCTTGCATTTGAAGACCCCGGTGTATTACTTCAGGCTTAATTATTAATCTATTAGTAGGTAATGTGAATTTATGTAGTAAATTTACTGGGAGAACAAGAGTTGGTCTAGTAATTGCTGAATTTTTCAGGTCATATCATGAAAGCTGCTGAGCATTACGAAGAGTTTTATCAGCTAGCAGAGAGCTGGACATGGAAGGATGAGACAGGCTGTACTTACCATTCACTGGCATGTCAGCACCTCTGGAGAATTTATATATTACTAGCAGACAAAATGCTAGAAGATAAAGAATACCATCAGGCCATCAAAACACTAATAAAAGCTTTAAAAGTGGCTAAAGAAGGTAGGTGGAATATAACAATTTTCCTTTGCTTTATTTGATGTGCAAGCCATGATTTTCCCAAGAGTCACGTGGAAGGAGTCAAGTGTTTGGGTGATTATTTCCTGTGAAACTCAGACAAATGCTACCAATACCCTTCCAGATCTCACAAAAGCAGAAATGCAGTAGGAGTCAAGTGTTTGGGTGATTATTTCCTGTGAAACTCAAAGACAAATGCTACCAATACCCTTGCAGATCTCACAAAAGCAGAAATGCTTTCTTGCTGGCAACTCATCTTGGTGCTTGCAATCCTTGGAAGGTGGCAGGTCAGCTGGTTTTTGGTCTACCTCACTGCCTAGTTATCCAAGCCACCTTGGAGCAGCTTGTACATGAAAATGTTGTGGGAGATGGTGTCAGAAACCTTGCTGAGAATGAGAGAAACAACATCCACTGCTGTTGATCAGATAGAAATTACATGTTCTTGGAGCATCCTGTGTGTGGATAGGTTTAAAATTGGGGGAAATTAGCTTGTGAACATGGTGTGTTCAAGCTGTTGATCAGATAGAAATAACATGTTCTTGGAGCATTTCTTACACATGAGAGGGAACAGAAAGAGAAGACAAATCTTACAAGCTGACTTCTGATAGTAGGCATAATTTTCCTTTTCAGAAATCTTAATGCTTGTTTCTTAAAAGATGCTGTTAAATGGCCACTCCTAAAGACTGACTTTTCTTAGAAGATTATCCTAGATGAGTGTTGGAGTGCTTCCTATTACTAGTAAAAACTACTGCCAATTAAGAGATTGTCAAAATGCATCTGATGCTTTTCCAAAACTTATTTTGACCAGGCAGGTTTTCCAGTGCCCTTACTTCAACCACTTTTATAGCTTCCTGAGACATGTAGTAAATAGCACTATGCATGGTATACTTGGTATTTTCTTTAAATTTAAGCATTAGATAATTTCAGGTGAGTTCTCCAGTCCCTGTTCCAGAACCTCCATCTGTGAAGCAATTAACAATTTAGTTAAACTCATACTGGCTCTGGTTGCCCTCTGTACTATCCATTCTGGACCATCATCTATGTTTCTGTATTTTATTAATTAGGACTAGATATTACCCACTTTAGACTCTCAGACTGGTTTGAAGTGAGGAAGTTTTTATATCCCTAGCCATTTTTCACTATCATTCCTCTGTGGAGCTTTACTGTGTTTGAGCAGATTGATATTGAGCAACAGAAAGACTGGATTTTTGGCTCATTTTCATATAATTCAATCTACTCTTTAATGGATACGTTCTGGAGGGAAGCTTTTGAATATTGGGTGATACACTAAGCATTTACATAATTAATTTACATACATTTCAGTATTGAATGGATGATGTTCTGTTGAGGAGGCAATGTAAGAAGACTAGCAGCAGTCTAGCAGAGGTAAGGAGAAAGGGGGGAAAAAATGAAATCTCACAGTATTTAAACATCTATATGTTATTTAAGGACCTGCAAGGACTGTTTGTGATGCTCTAATTTTGTCCAGTTTATACCAGTAACTGCAACTTTAATCTTTTCCTTAGGAGGTGATAAGAAGATGGAAGGAGAAGCTGCATATTGCTTAAGTCTAGCATATCATTTTGCTGGAGAAGAGCAGAGAGCATTATCAGTAAGTTTAATGTTGCTTTAGCTTTCCCAATCCCTTTCTCTACGTCCTTTGCATCTCAGGGATTTTGAAAAGTGGAAAAGACTTGGAGAGACTTGGCCAACAGAGCTTTCCTAACTGTATCTAGTTCTGTAGACAGGGATCCACGTGGCTTAAGCAATTATGGTTCCAATAAATTCCAGTACTACTTGGCCAACAGAGCTTTCATAACTGTATATAGTTCTGTAGACAGGGATCCACAGGGCTTAAACAATTATGGTTCCAATAAATTCCAGTACTGACAGAATCCAGGTTTCAATCTGCAGAAATAATTCAGATAGTTCAGGTTATATGTGACTAACTTTTCTTTTTCCATATTCATGCATATACAAACCAGTTTTTATTTAGTAAGATTTTTGTGTCTAACACCCGTTTTGCAAACTAGTTTGATACAGTGTATTTGTGAGCAACAATTAAAATATATCATGTCACATCTTAAGCTTTTCAGATCAGAAATTTAGAGGAAATATGAATGGCTTTTGGTATGAAAGGATTTAATGCTGATGCCATGCTTACTGTTGATACTTGAATTCAAACTCCTCTTTGCACATTCCTCCTGAGACTCCCATACATGAGAATTCTAAGATGATGAGAATTATACATGTGGAATTCTAGTCTGGAAGGAGAGTTCTCCTGGTTCATCATAGGTCAGTGTGAGAGGGAAGATAAACATCAATTTTATTTGTCTGTGCCACTTCCAAGGGAATTCAGAGTCCTCTATAATCCTCATATTAATTTTCCACATTTTTTTTTTGTTTGAATATTTTGTCCATGAGTGTAGTGATTAATCAGCTGGATAATTACTATTTCTATTTCTCTCTGTTGACTGCAGAATGACTTGGTATTTTATTAATGAACATGTTTTATAGAGGTCATTCTTTGTGGTTATTTGTTGTTGTTCATTTTTTGAAAAATAAACCAGTAGAAGTCATGGACTGAATTCACCATGAGTTTCAATATTGCTTGCTGAGCTTCTGCAGTGCAGGAGAGGTTCTAAACTTCTGTCTTGAAACACCCTCTAACATGCTTTTAATGATGTGTGATAACAATTATTGTCCATCTTTATATGTAATTCTTCACTGATGGGCCTGTCTTCTGTACAAATCAAATCAATGCTGGAATGTGGGAGCCTGTTCTCACATCAGGAGAAATTAATGAACAAGACTACACAGTCTCCATGGTATACAAAAGATCAAACTACCCTGGAAAGTGTTAAAAATAATTGTTTCACCAGAATCCATGTTTGCATTTTATATCTGCTCTTTTCTCCTCATTCCTGCCTCATCTCTCCTGCCAAAAAGTTACAGCAGTCATTTGGAAGCTCCATTTCTTTTTGTCATGTGCAGAATTAATATTTTTTTTCAAGTAAGATTCTGGTTCCTTGATATTTTGTAGCGTCCTAATATTCATTTAAAATATATGCCCAGCAAGTTGTGCCTCTTGGTTGTAGACTTACAAAAACACCTGACAGGTCAGGAAAGCAATGTGTGCTTTTGTTAAAAGTCTCTGTAGTACAAGTCATGAATGGTTCATTATCTTAAGAGCATGACATGTTTTTTGGTAGTGAAAATACCAATTTAATTGGTACTGAAGATACCAATGCTTTTCATTGTAAATAATACCATATTATAATACAGTGATATTTCCTAATACAATGGCATTTCTAATAATATTACAGAAGAAACCTATGAAGTACTTTCATTCAGAAAACCTAGTGTGTATATAGGGCTAAGAAAAGGGGTTAAAACTTTAGTTCCTTCTGTCCTTAAGTGATCAATATAGACAGCAATAAAAAATATCCGTGGCTGACAGTACTGTTGAGCACAAGTTGTCCTCACTCTCCAATTAGAAATCAGGGCCTAAAATTTACCCTTCTGTTCTCAGTTTAATGGTCTCTGTATCCAAGGAGAGCTCAGATGCTTACAGAGATGAAATCATTGCCTCCTGTTCCCAGAGGACTGCTGGTTATCATTGCACATAACACACAGACAATGCTGCTAGGAGCCCCTTTGCCTCATGGTAATATGTAGTTCATCACCAGCTTCTGTAGCATGCTAAAGAGGTCTTGCCACACAGCTTGGGACTATTGGGGTGTAGGCTCAGGGGTCTCAGCAGTTATTTTCCTGTTTTGCATCAGTTTTCATCTCCTTTATCCTTTTGTGCTGTGGTCCACCTCAGGCAGTCTCCTTCTAGGGGAATCTGAAAGGAGCAGCTGTTAACAGAGACCATTGCCTCCAATTGTTGCCACTTGGTCCTTTTGCTGTGCAGGGTGGTGCTCCCTCCCTCCCCCAACACCCCCACACAGCATATAAACTTGTGCCTCTTTCATTCATGTCTTCCAGCAGAGTGGAGAAGCATATGTTCAAAATATTCATTATCTGATGCAGTAATTAAAGGTTGAAATGATTAAGCTGCAGCCTATTATAGCAAAAATATGCAGCCACTTAGTGTTGCATGGGGTAGGTTTGTTGGAGAAGGGTTTTTTTTTTTATTTGCTGGGCTCTTGGTGGTTAACATAATTTGATTTGGTGCGTAATTTGTATAAATTGGTTTAATTTTACTTGATAGATAACAATTTATTTCAGTGGACCTGCTCAGATCTAAAAACCTGTGTGCAAGTTGAAAAGCCTGAGAACTAATTATGTTCAGCAGCAGTGTTATGTTCATAATATTTTGGATATCATCTAGGTTATAATCAAGCCTAATGGCTTTTCCACAGCATATGACACAAAATATTAATAGTTCACATGATATAGAATTTTTATGTTAAACATTATAGATTTTGTCAGGAAGAGTTCCCCATATAAGCCACTTTTAAAGTTGAAGTTGCTGTTTAGTTGTTGTTCTTCAGACTTGTACAACAAGCTAAGTATTAAGTGAAACAATTAAGGAATCACATAAAGTGTTGTAACCAAATTCTTGATGGAGGAAATTTAGGGTATTTTTTAACTGGACTTTCAAGAATGTTTCAAAGACTTGGGCATCAAGAGGATTTTCTAATTGAAAGAGCTGCATCCCAAATCATTAGGAAAATTTCAATCTTCATCCATTATCTGAGCATTAGGGGTTTTTTTCTGAGTGTTCCTTCATTTTGGATATTGAATCCTGAGTTTTAAATATGCTGTGTTTTTAAATAATAGAGGCAGTGTTCATGAGTACTGAGACTCATGCCCAAATAAATGTGGTAATTTATAACATAATGCTATGTGCATGAATTGTCAGAATTACAATATACAAGCCACAGGCATAAAATTATCAAGAAAATTGATGAACTTACAAAGACATCTTCCTGTTTGAAATGACCCTATTAGAGTAATCAGAGATGATTTATGATAATAAAGTTAATTTCTGAAAAAGTCTGTCAAAAAACAACTGAAAATTTTCCTCTGCTCAAGTAGCTGGAGAGAATATAAGTAAATGTGTCTGAGGTGCAGATATTCTGAAGTTGGTGTGCATGATATATTTTATCTAATTATATAGATTATACCCATATGTGTGGATGAACTAAGGAGGATCTTAGCAAGTAAAAACTCCAAAAAATAGACTGAATGTGATCTTCTTTTCTTCCAAACATTGTGAAAGGTAGTGGAGAAGAATGGGCATCATTCCTTGGAGATTTACTTACTATTCTAGTGCTTTGCTAGGAGGCTGAACTTTGAGACACTTATTTCTGTCAGCGGTGTCTGGGTAGATCACTGAGCTTAGGTTTAAGCTTTCATCACTATTACTACAAAAAACCACTGAAATTGAGACTTGCAAAATGTATCAAAACATTATTCAATGGAAATGATGTCAGATTTCCTTCTTTTAAATCAGTCTGATTGTCCTTTATCCACCTCTAAGTGATATTTAGCCATTAGTGATGGAGTACAACATATTTCAGCTTAACAAGTGGCATCAGGTGCTTAAAAAACATTTTAGCCTACCAGTTAAAGAAAAGGTCTCATCATTCCTAAATGCTTCAATTGTTCTTAAAACTCACTTATAGAAATTTTGTATTTTTAATTTTTCATTTATTCTGATGAATAAAAAACCAGACAAAACTGAGCCCTCTTTGGAGGTAGGCATTGCTGTTGAGTGTGACACTGACAATGGATTATGTACAGAGAGAGATTTTCTTATTGAAGGTCTAGAATTAAGAAGCCAATTCTGAAACTGATTATATTTCATGTTTCTAAAAGGTTCCACTACTGCTGGGTGTTGGTGAAGATAGTACAAACAAAATTATGTGAGAAAAATCAGTACTAGTAGTGAACTTTGCCCTGACAAAAATATATTGACTCAAATATTGATGGATTTAAGTGTTGGAAATAATTTGTGTTGAGAATCTTAAAGAACATGTGGAACTGTGAGGGATATCTTCAAGGGAACG